AGGAACTCTGCCTATTTGTTTCCGCCATCGCAGGGGATCGATCCCGGGCCATTGGATTATGAGTCCCGACCGCTGTCCACTCAGCCACCAGGGCCCACCAGGTTGTGTGTGGAGGGGGGGGGAATCAGTTGATTGACAGTTGAGAGGCGTGCCGAAAGAGCAGAGCTCAACCCCCGCAAGCACAACTAGGTGAATATAGGTGAATACACACACACACACACACACACACACACACACACACACACACACACACACACACACACACACACACACACACACACACACACACTAGGCGAGTACACATACTAGAGACAGTAAGCTATTAATGAACACCGTTTCTTTAAGTACACTAAAGCTAACAATTTCTCCACACAGTGTAAGGAACACAACTTCCAAGGAAAATTATAAACACTACTTCACAGGAATACTCGAACTTTTACCAACTTCCAGTGAATCACAGAGTCTATATTTGTAATACTTTCCATAAAAAACGGAAAAAATATTCAGAATGCATTAAAACTCAAATCCATTTATCCCATCAACAAGAGCTATGATTTACGGAGCCGAGTTTGATATACAAAGTCAGGGCTGGGAACGAACCAGCCGAGGTCCGTTCTTCTAGAGGGTCAAGTGGATGGCTGTGAGCCGATCCGCGCCTCCGTCTGCACGAACGCCGGTCTTTCCCGCTGTTATTGTTGGGGGGCTGTAGCTTCTGTCTTGTGGTGTCTCAGTACTGTAGATGACGGTATATATATATGGCTACTTGCGATGGTGTGCTGTCACTCTTCCAGCAGCAGTGGTGGAGGTGGCAGAGGACTTCACCAGCTGTGTGGCTCTGGCTCACCCCCCAGCTGGTGCCTCACCCCACCCTCAGCTGGTGGCTCTGCCTCACCCCCCAGCTGGTGCCTCACCCCACCCTCAGCTGGTGGCTCTGCCTCACCCCCCAGCTGGTGCCTCACCCCACCCTCAGCTGGTGGCTCTGCCTCACCCCCCAGCTGGGGCCCACCCACCCTCAGCTGGTGGCTCTGGCTCACCCCCAGCTGGGGCCTCACCCCACCCTCAGCTGGTGGCTCTGCCTCACCCCCCAGCTGGTGCCTCACCCCACCCCCCAGCTGGTGCCTCACCCCACCCCCCAGCTGGTGCCTCACCCCACCCCAGCTGGTGCCTCACCCCACCCCCAGCTGGTGCCTCACCCCACTCCCAGCTGGGGCCTCACCCCACCCCCAGCTGGTGCCTCACCCCACCCCCAGCTGGTGCCTCACCCCACCCCCAGCTGGTGCCTCACCCCACCCCCAGCTGGGGCCTCACCCCACCCCCAGCTGGTGCCTCACCCCACCCCCAGCTGGGGCCTCACCCCACCCCCAGCTGGTGCCTCACCCACTCCCAGCTGGGGCCTCACCCCACCCCCAGCTGGTGCCTCACCCCACCCCCAGCTGGTGCCTCACCCACCCCCAGCTGGGGCCTCACCCCACCCCCAGCTGGTGCCTCACCCCACCCCCAGCTGGGGCCTCACCCCACCCCCAGCTGGTGCCTCACCCCACCCCCAGCTGGTGCCTCACCCTACCCCCAGCTGGTGCCTCACCCCACCCCCAGCTGGTGCCTCACCCCACCCTCAGCTAGGGCCTCACCCCACCCCCAGATGGGGCCTCACCCCACCCCCAGCTGGTGCCTCACCCCACCCCCAGCTGGTGCCTCACCCCACCCCCAGCTGGTGCCTCACCCCACCCCCAGCTGGTGCCTCACCCCACCCCCCAGCTGGTGCCTCACCCCACCCCCAGCTGGTGCCTCACCCCACCACCAGCTGGTGCCTCACCCCACCCCCAGCTGGTGCCTCACCCCACCCCCAGCTGGTGCCTCACTCCACCCCCAGCTGGGGCCTCACCCCACCCCAGCTGGTGCCTCACCCCACCCCCAGCTGGTGCCTCTACCCCACCCCCAGCTGGTGCCTCACCCCACCCCCAGCTGGTGCCTCACCCCACCCCCAGCTGGTGCCTCACCCTACCCCCAGCTGGTGCCTCACCCCACCCCCAGCTGGGGCCTCACCCCACCACCAGCTGGTGCCTCACCCCACCCCCAGCTGGGGCCTCACCCCACCCCCAGCTGGTGCCTCACCCCACCCCCAGCTGGGGCCTCACCCCACCCCCAGCTGGTGCCTCACCCCACCCCCCAGCTGGTGCCTCACCCACACCCCAGCTGGTGCCTCACCCCACCCCCAGCTGGGGCCTCACCCCACCCCCAGCTGGTGCCTCACCCCACCCCCAGCTGGGGCCTCACCCCACCCCCAGCTGGTGCCTCACCCCACCCCCAGCTGGTGCCTCACCCCACCCCCAGCTGGTGCCTCACCCCACCCCCAGCTGGTGCCTCACCCCACCACCAGCTGGGGCCTCACCCCACCCCCAGCTGGTGCCTCACCCCACCCCCAGCTGGTGCCTCACCCCACCCCCAGCCTCACCCCACCCCCAGCTGGTGCCTCACCCCACCCCCAGCTGGTGCCTCACCCCACCCCCAGCTGGTGCCTCACCCCACCCCCAGCTGGTGCCTCACCCCACCCCCAGCTGGTGCCTCACCCCACCCCCAGCTGGTGCCTCACCCCACCCCCAGCTGGTGCTTCACCCCACCCCCAGCTGGTGCTTCACCCCACCCCCCCAGCTGGGGGAAAACACAGCCTGGGGAGGAAGAAGTGGAGTGGAACTTGAAGTCTTGGCGCCGTTGTTAATGATAATTAACCTACAATTTAATTAAGACTTGCTGAAGTAAAATATATATCACGAGAAAATATATATATATATATATATATAATATATATATATATATATATATATATATATATATATATATATATATATATATATATATATATCACGAGATATATATATATATATATATATATATATATATATATATATATATATCATATAGATATATTATAACATATATATATATATTATATATATATATATATATAAAAAATCTCCATATTCATCTCTAGCTTATTCGAAACAGACGTTTCGGAAAATATACTCCGTCAAAATCCTCAATAAAAATGCTTAAAAGTCATTTAGAAATCAGTATAGGTAAAAAATATAATATCTATAATATATAGAAATATAGGTAGTTCTTACCTCACTTGTCTGCTGTTTAGACAAGTTGGTGTGGAGTCCAGAACCGTCATCTCAATCTCAATCTCTCTCTCTCTCTCTCTCTCTCTCACTGCAATTTCACTATTCCGACTTGTAATTTTCATCAACTTGTCCTTAATTAACATCTTGGACTCTATTTACATCGCTGAAATGAGATCCCCCGCGTTCAAATTTTCTAATTTTCGTCTTCTCGATAGCCTTCTTCATCAACAAAAAACGCCAATCGCTCGTTAATCCAGACGCCAAACTAGTTATTCCTGTTTATAGGTGAAAAGCTTTTGACATATGTCTGGCAACTGCAACCCGTCCTCGACTCAAGTCCATTCCATCCAGCGGTCGACCCCACAGACACATTCATCAATTTTTACATGCTGTTCATTCAAAACAGGAATTTTCTTAAATATAAATTAATATTATAATATATTAGCATATTGTGCATATAGGCATAGGTTATTTTAGGTCAGGTGTTTAGGTTCTGTTGGCGATTATTTGTAGTACGTGGATGAAGCATTTATAGCGTTGTAGTTCGAACAATACTCGTCAGTGAAGCACTTGTTCCGGAAATATTCGAAGGAAATCAGTTGTGAGTCGTGTGTAAACCGTTTTTCATTCATAAACAGGGGGTTTGGCGGGTGGATGGAATCACTTTTGGGTCTTCGTTTGGAGAGCGGGCTGTACATCCAGCGGTCGACCCCACAGACGCATCCATAAACTTTAACATGCTGTTCATTCAAAACAGGGATTTTCTCAAATATAACCTAACCCCTGGTTAGGTTAGGTGTTTAGGTTCTGTTGGCGATTATTTGTATTTGTAGTTCGTGGGTGAAGCATTTACTGCGTTGTGGTAATTTGTCCAGTCATTCATCACATTTGCAAGTCTGAGTAACATCTGCCTGAATTCAGATTTGGAAATTGGTAGGCGAGACGGGATGCATATACCCAGAGTCAGGCTGATCCATGACGCTGGCTCCCTCCCTTCCTCACTCTGGGGCTGAGATGGTATGCCGGATAATCGACCTGAAAATGGTCCAGGACGGACCGAAACGCCGTCGTCCCTTCACTTTCTAGTGTGTGGTTTGGTCAACATATTTCAGCCACGTTATTATGACTCCTCGTCTGCATGCCGGATATACACTCACGAGCCAGATTAACCCTGCATCTGACTCTCTACCTCGCCGGCTGCTTCGACAGAGGGCTCGGTCGTCTCCTCAAAAACATCTTTCCTCTGTTTACTTTTCCTTGGTGGTGTTACTGTGTTTGGTAATGTCACGGTGTGTTTGGGGACTTCACTGTGTGTGTGTGTGTGTGTGTGTGTGTGTGTGTGTGTGTGTGTGTGTGTGTGTGTGTGTGTGTGTGTGTGTGTGTGTGTGTGTGTGTGTGTGTGTGTTTGGTGATATTACAGGGCTTCTTGTCCCTGACCACACGAATTAATAATACATATTAAGGCCATTCAATGGGTTGAGTTATATTAAGACACAAATTGCCTCTTGTTCAGCACCAGTGTTACCTCAATTACGACCTTATAAACAAGGTAACGAGTCGTTAACGAGGACACGAGTCGTTAACACTTCAATAATAGCGTGGTCTCAGATCAATGGCTCTTAACACGACCATTTTTCTCGTACAAGTGAATTCTAACTTTTTTTTTTGTGGTTCCTTAAGTAGCTTTGATTTGTCTTCTAAACGAGGGAGCTAAATATTTCTTGGCTCCTGACTTACGTAGCTACGGCTTGTTCTCCTTAGCTCTGAAGACGTTGTTAGTGTGATTACCAGACACTCAGGTATTCACTCAGACGCTCAGGTATTCACTCAGACACTCACGTTTTCCTCCAACACGTTCCTGCAACCGGTCATCTTTTC